GTGCACCAGAAGAAAATAAATTTCATATTGGTTTAATTGGAGGATTATTTGCATCTCAACCAATAGGAAGAGAAATTCTGTTACGACTAGCAACTCATATTTTGATGGGAAATCAAATTGGAGATCCTCCTATACAAAGAATATTGAATAACTCTGTATTACATTTTATACCTGGGATAGATCCTGGTTTTGATAATATATTTAATATGCAAGATTGTAATCCAATTGTATATGATGAAGTAGGAAAAAAATTATTACAGCAAAATATTGTTAATTCGAATAAATTAAATAAAATTATTAATGCATTTAAAACAATGTTACTTAATGAAGAATATGATGTGATAATAATATTAGGAAGTGGAGCACTTGAAGTTAGGTACTAAAAATTGAATAAATATTAATATTGCATAAGAATATATTTTCTTTATATTTTTTATAATAATATATTTTTATTTTATTTAGTTATACAGATGATACTTTGAATGTATATGAAAATCTAGCTAAAAATTATGAACATTCATTACGAAAAGGAACTTGTAATTTTCTTAATAATGATATTAAGGAAGTACAAAATTACATTAAAAATCAATATAATATACCAGTAGTAAGTAATATATATTTATTAATATATGAAATTATTTAAAAAAAATTTTTTTTGTTTATTATTATTTTAAGATAAATATTTATATATATTTAAATAATTATATTTTTAGATAAGTATCAATATGGATTGTTGTAAATATCCACGTCCAGGATCTATTCCAATTATTTGGCGCGAAAATTTATTGCCTTTAAAAAAACTTATTCATGGACTTACAACTGGTATCCGTGCAATAGTAACAGACATTAATGATGTTCCTTTAAGAAAAGCTACAGTTAAAATTGGAACCAATAATTATCATGTTTCTAAAAACATGGCTTATTTCAAGATTATTGTTCTTCCTGGTGAATATATGTTAACATTTTTCTGTGAAGGTTACATTGAACAAACTATAAAAATTCATGTAAATTATGAAAGTATAACTAATCTTTACATTAAATTGATAAAACATCATATTGAAAAAGTAGAACATCAAAAATATGATGAAGATCAAGAAACAAATATTGTAAATCAAGTTTTAATTGATCTGAGCAATAAATATTCACAATTATCAATTTTACATACTATTGGTAAATCACAAATAGGTACTCGAATAATGTGTTTAGAAATTGGAACTAAAAATAATAAACAGATTGGTCGGCCATCTATAGCTTTTGTAGCAGGTATTTCAAATGGTGCAGCTGTAACATCTAAAATTTTACTTTATTTTGCAAAGTATTTATTAGACCATTATCAAAAAGATATTAGAATAACTAATTATTTAGATCAATTTACAATATATATTGCACCGGATTTATCTCAAAATTCTAATGATAATCAAACTTGTACATCAAGTATAATGAATAACTTACAATTTCCTATTAATAATGATTTAACTACTGATGCAAGTATGATAATTAATTGGTTTAAAAATATTAATGCCATATTAGCAATAAATTTAAACATTGGTTCACAACATATTGAAATTCCATTTGCGGGAAAGTATGGAAAAATACATGAACAAATATATAATACAGATGATGATGATATATTGCAAGATTTAGCATTATTATATACAAAATATAATATTCATATGACATCTAAAGATTCACAATGTAATAATAATTTAAATATAAATACTAATGGGATTATTCATGGTGGGATAGGTATAAGTGGAAAAAGAAAACATTCATTAATGGATTATCTTTATTTAAATACAAGTACTCTGATGTTAAATATATATGTTACATGTTGTAACACAGATGATTCAGAAAATGTATGGGAAGATAATAAAGCTAGTTTACTAGCAATGATAGAAAAACTTAATGAAGGAGTAAAAGGATATGTTCTCGATGAAAACAATCATCCAATTGAAAATGCTATTTTATCATATAATCAATCAATGCATCACATCAAAAGTGGTATACATGGAACTTATTGGCTTTTGTTTCAACCTGGTACTCATGTTATAAATGTTACTGCATCTAAATATATTCAGCAGACTAAAGTGTTTATCACACCAGACATACATAATATTTCGTATTTAATATTCAAATTAAAATATGATGACAATTATTTGGGAATGCCCAGAATTGTTTTTATTATACTTTTAAGTAAGATATTCAGTATCTTTACAATATATTTGTAATTATATAAATTATATTGTAATTATATGTAAATACATATGTATATTATCATAATGTTTTATAATAACATAATCATATATAAATTATATTTTTATAGGTACTCTATGTTTGGGAATTATTATATGTTCTATTTTTATTTGTATCAATTGTCAATCTTCCAAAAATTTAGAAAAGAATAATTGGCGTCAATATTCATTTAGTTTACTAAAAGATGGTACAAGTTTTTTTGATGATGATGAAAAAGAAATTGAAATATTTAAAAGACCATTAAATGGTAAGTATTATTAATATATAATAATAACAAAAATGTAAATTTTCAAAATCTATATACTTATACTTATGTATATTTATGATGTATACTTATAAAAATTAGAAAAAAATTATTATTTTTATTTTCTCTTAATAGAATGACAGTTTTCAAACATCTACTACAAATTATTAATTTAAGATTGTATCATATTTCTTTATTTCATTAGTTTAAACTTTTTTAGGACATACACAAATTAAGGAAATTACAAAACCATATTTTGATGATGATAATATGTCAAGTTCTGAAGATGCTAGTGATTTAGAATTTGTTAGACCAAGTAAAGAGTGGGAAGAAGAACCAATTAAAGAACATAGATAATATATATATATATATATATATATATATATATATATATATAATTAAAAGACCATTAAATGGTAAGTATTATTAATATATAATAATAACAAAAATGTAAATTTTCAAAATCTATATACTTATACTTATGTATATTTATGATGTATACTTATAAAAATTAGAAAAAAATTATTATTTTTATTTTCTCTTAATAGAATGACAGTTTTCAAACATCTACTACAAATTATTAATTTAAGATTGTATCATATTTCTTTATTTCATTAGTTTAAACTTTTTTAGGACATACACAAATTAAGGAAATTACAAAACCATATTTTGATGATGATAATATGTCAAGTTCTGAAGATGCTAGTGATTTAGAATTTGTTAGACCAAGTAAAGAGTGGGAAGAAGAACCAATTAAAGAACATAATAATATATATATATATATATATATATATATATATACTATTATATATAAAAAGGAAGATATTTTTTTATATGATATTTAAATTATACATAAAAATATAAAAATTAAGAAAAAATTACTAACAAATAATTTTAGAATATTAAAATATTGTAATTTTGTTTCAATTTACTATATAAACTAAATATTTACTAAATTATAAAATGGTTTTCAAAAATATCTTTCCCTTCAAACAAACAGTTTATCAATTTAAATCAAGATGAAAAAAAATATTAAAAAAACTAAAAATTATTATATCTATAAAAACTATTGTATTGTATGATAATATAAAATAGATTTATAGTAAGATAAAATAGAAGAGAAATATAATGAATTTTGTTTGAAAAAAAAAAAGATATGTGTTTTAAGATATATAATTAATTTAATATAATATTTTAATATATAACACAAGACTAATATTTTATATAATATAAATATGAATTATATTCTAAATTCTTTTTATATATCATTTATATATGATTTAATATAATATAAATCAATGAAAATTTTTTAAAATATAAAACATCTTTTGTGCATATTTTCAAGTATTAAGTGTATAATTTAAAATTTATAACATTTAATTTATATTTTCTTCAAAGATTTAAAAAAATTTGAAAAATATTTATAGAAAATTTATTATAATATGCTTTATACAAAAATATGAATAAAAATAAAAATATATCACTTATCATTCATAAATAAATAATTAAAATGCTAAATTAGTTTTATATATTAATAAATTCAAGAATACATCAAATATTTTTATATATTTTTTATATAATATTACTATAATTAATTACATATTAATTTACATTATATACAGTCAATTATTTTATACTGTACAATACATTTTATACTGTAAGGTTATAAAAATTAATAATAATAATAAATTTCATAGAAATTGTAAAATGGCAAATATTTATTTACTATTTATAATATTATTAATTAATATAATAATATAATTTTAATATTATGTAAAATTTAAGATTTTTAATATGAAACAAAAAAATTAATTATTTATTTATTATATTTATTTTATTCATAGAATTTCTGTTTACAATGATCAACACAATACAATGATCAATATAAATTTGTTTATTATTTGTTTTAACAATAAATATTTTAATTTTGATTAATGTCAATATCGGTAAAATAAAATAAAACGAATCATAAGTAAATATCAGATTACATTTCATCTCAAAATACAAATTGAAATGATGTAATTTCAAAAATTAAATAAATTTCATGCTTTTGTTTTTTTTTATGTATTGTATTTATAAAGATATATAAATTATTTTTATAAAAAGCAATTAATATTCATTAATATTACATTAAACTTACTTTTTTAAATAATTTTATATTGAGCTATATTTCATTCTGCAGTAGCTTATTGAAGATTAAAAATAGGGAAACTAAGTAAAATATCTAGTGGAATTTATTCGAAGATACAGAAAATTTAACAAAGTTGCTTTCGAATATTGTGCACAAATTATTTAAGAATCATATTTTAATCATAATTTATGTATATTTTATTTGAAAAGAATAAAAGAAATAACATTAATATTAATATCAAATATCTCGTAAAAAAATATATACAGAAATGAATAGAAATTTATAACAGGATTCGGGACACGTGATATCTATTTGACAATTTTCATTTTCTTTGTATATTTGTGTAAACATTATTTTTTGAAAATTTTAAAGAATATTAAAATAGGCAAAGTATTTTTAAAAAGGTAAGTTTAATTAATTTTTGATTATTATAATGATAAGAAAATATTAAGATATATATTTTATAATTTATTATTTTTAAATATTTCTAGACTTTAGAGATTAAGAAATGGCAAAGAGAATACAACCATCTTGGGTTCCACCACAAAGAAAAAATAGCTCGGTTCTTAAATTGTATAATAGTTTAACTAGAAATAAAGAAATATTTGTTCCTCAATTTGGAAATCATATCTTGTGGTATAGCTGTGGACCTACTGTTTATGATGCATCACATATGGGACATGCTAGGTAATATAAAATTATAAAATTATATAGAATTGTGTAATATGAGATACAGAATATTTACTTTTATATTTTCTTGTTAATTTTTGTTATTTAGATCATACATGTCTTTTGATATAATAAGACGTGTATTATCTGATTATTTTGGATATGATATTTTATATGTGATGAATATTACTGATATAGATGATAAAATTATAAAGAGAGCTAGACAAAATTATTTATATGAAAAATATATAAAAGAAAATCATACGCTTGATAAAATTTTGGATGATGCAAAAAATGTAATGTATATCTTTGAAGATACTGTAAAAAGCACAATTGATACAGATAAAAAATATATACTACAGAATATATTGTGTAATGTAGAGAAAGCTATTGAAAATCTTGAAGATGCAGTAAAACTTAAAGATGAAGATAAAATGAAGGAATTTCAAGAAGTATACATATTTCTTTTATATTGTATAAAATACATTAAATAATGAATTTATAAATAGTAATAATGTCATTATTTATAATATTAATAATATTATTAATAAAATTATTAATTATTAATAATATTATTACTAATTTTATTTAATAATTTATCTAAAGATACTATGTTTATAACTTCTATGGATGCAGTTGTTATTAAAAGAAGTACGAGATCCTTTGGCAGAATGGTTGGATAAAGAAAAAGGTGCTACGGTTACAGAACATTCAATTTTTACCAAATTATCGCAACATTGGGAACAAGAATTTCACAAAGATATGGATTTTTTAAATGTAAAATTAAACATGTTGTTTATAATTGTTTTTTTTAAATGTTATTTTATTATTTGAAATATTAAATTAAACATATGTAAAAATATTTAATTATGATTTAAAAAATAAAATATTTTTTAGGTATTAAGACCAAATGTTTTGACTAGAGTTAGTGAATACATACCAGAAATTATAGAATTTATTAAAAAAATTATAGAAAATGGAATTGCATATGAAAGTAATGGTTCTGTATATTTTGATGTTTCTACTTTTGATAAACAAGATAAACATTATTATGCTAAACTTGTTCCAGAAGCATATGGTGATACATTGAGTTTACAAGAAGGAGAAGGTAAATATTAAAATTTTTTTTAAAAATTCTTGTATCAAATTTTTATTGAAAATTTTTTTATTAGGAGATTTAAGTACTTTGGCAATATCTGAAAAAAGATCGCCAATTGATTTTGCACTTTGGAAATGTTCAAAAGAAGGAGAGCCATGGTGGGAAAGTCCTTGGGGTAGAGGACGACCTGGTTGGCATATAGAATGTTCAGTTATGGCATCTATAATTTGTGGAGAAAGTTTAGATATTCATACTGGAGGAGTAGATTTAAAATTTCCCCATCATGATAATGAAATAGCACAAGCAGAAGCATACTTTAATAATTCTAATTGGGTCAGATATTTTCTCCATTCTGGTCATTTGACCATAGCAGGATGTAAAATGTCTAAATCATTAAAAAATTTTATTACTATACAAGATGCATTAAAAAAGCATTCAGCAAGACAACTTAGACTTGCATTTCTTTTACATTCATGGAAAGATACATTAGATTATAGCGACAATACTATGCACATGGCTATTCAATATGAAAAATTTTTAAATGTAAATATAACATATATTATGAAATTTTATTATTTAATAATAAAATGTAAATAAAATTTATTATTTGTATTACAGGAATTCTTTTTAAATGTAAAATGTAAAATTAGATCTTTGGGTTCAGAAACGAATATCAATACTTTTACTAAATGGACTAATTTCGAAATAGAATTAAATGAAAAGTTTTATAATGCCAGAGATTTTGTACATAATGCATTATGCGGTAAGAAAGTATTTATAAATTATACATATATATTTGTAGAACATTTTTTAGATCAATTCTAAGATTCAAAACAAATATAAAAATAGTAAATTGCTTATAAATAAATAAGCTTCAATTTATATATCAATTTTTTGTATTTAAACTTTGCGTCTAAAATCGATACTTCTTCCAAAGATCTTTCACGAATATATTAACATTCTATATTTTCTTACATTATTAAATGTATATTACAGTATTGTTATATTAACCATACTTACATTTTATTGCAGATAATATTGATACAAGAAGTGCACTTGATGCAATTAGAGATCTTGTGACGCACTGTAATATTTATATGAAAGAAGTTAAACAACCAAATACATTATTACTTAGAGATGTTGCAGTTTATATTACAAAAATGTTTACTATATTTGGTACTATATCATATTCACACGATGCTATTGGTTTTCCAATAGATAGTAATGTGAAATTAAATGTATGGTTTATATTTTTATATTTTTTTTTATTTATATCTTGAATTTTTCATTATGGATTTCATTATAAAGGTTGAACAGGCTGTTATGCCATATCTTGAAATTTTGGCAAATTTCCGTGAGAAAATAAGAAATCATGCTAAAACTTTGAAAGCTAGTACTATTCTTGAAGAATGTGATACATTACGTGACGATATTTTACCAAATATTGGAGTTCGTTTAGAGGATAGTAATAATGAAATTTGTAAAATTAAACTAGTAAATAGAGAAGATCTTTTAAAAGAAAAAGAATCTAAAAAGCAAATGGAATTAGAGAAAATGCTAGAAAAAGAAAAGAAAAAAGCAGAAATTGCTGCGGCAGCTGCAATGAAAGAAGCACAGAGGAAAATTCCTCCTTCTGAGATATTTATGTTAGAAAGAGATAAATATTCTCGATTTGATAGCAACGTAGGTAGAATTGTTTATAATAATATATATTTTTTCATAATTAAAAAATTTAAAGCTTTTTTTCTTATTTAGGGTTTACCGACGCATGATATCAATGGTAAAGAAATTAGTAAAGGGCAAATAAAGAAATTGCAAAAGCTTCAACAAGCGCAAGAAAAGAGATATAATGAATATCTCGCTTCGATTTAATAAAGTGTTTAATATAGTATTAATCTTGTACATTAGAAAGGTGATTGAAGAAAAACATTGATCTCACCTTTTTAAAATATTTATTTTCATGTTAATTTTTATCATTGCATTGTTCGTTAATTTATTGCTGTTTATGAACATAAAAACATGCATATATAATATTTATATTTATCTTTATATTATTAAAAATTAATTAAAAAATTATCTTTAACTTAAATTTTTTTTTATATTTTACAAATTGAAATTTATAAGTTTACAAGTTATTTATTATATTAAATAAAAATATATTTACAATAAATTATATTATAAATATATCAAATGAAATATATCAAAAATGACAAATTTATTAAATTAATTATTAATACTGTTAAATTATTTTAAAAATTTTTAAAAAATGATATTATATTAATCCCTTACCATGTAATAATTACTTAACTATTAACTACTTAACTATTATAATATTATGTTGAATACAAAATATCAAAGAAATATTAAAAGAAAAATTTGTATAATTTGAATTAGTAATTTTTCTATAGAATTAATTTATAATTATAGAATTAAAATTAATTGTTCACTTTTGTTGAATCGAAATAATTTATACGCTAAAAATCACGCAATATAATATTTCTATCTTATCTGTATCTAAATAAACAGCACATAGAAATTAATATAACATATTATAGAAACACAAAGACCATTTTAGCATAAAAAAGTAAATAGAAAAATTTAGTATTAATGATTCCATTCACTGATGAATAAAAGCTCTAACTTGTTAATATTAATGTGTACAAAGAAGTATTCATGATTTTAAAGATAAGAAAATCAACGAGAAGGATTAAAAAGAAAGTACAATTATTTTTGTTATATAATTTTATAGCAGCATTAAAGAGATAAATAAAGAGATAAATATAAAATAAATATCTAAATGTATCAAATTTTAAAAAATTTTTATATATCTCTTCTCAAGTTATATACCTCTTCTGATAATAAAATTATAGAATTTGATAAAAAGACGATATTTTTAAAATTCGAAAAAAAATTTCATATCATTTTCTAATTATTTTTTTTTAATACAAAATTATGAATTGTAAATGATACGTAGTCCACAATTTTTACTATAAAAAATTTTTGTATTAGGAAAATATAATCCTAAAGAGATATCACGCATATTTTTCTATTTTCAGAAATAAAAATTTTGTAAAAAACATTACGTATTCATAATTCGTGTACACGTGTATTAAGAAGATGAATTAAATTTTTAATACATTACATGTGGACTCATATACATTTATATACATTTATATACATGTTCAATATTATGATTTTTAGATATTATAAAACAAATTGTTATTTTTAGTCAAAAACCGTTTTAATAATATATAATGAATTAAAAGCATGAAAATTACTAATTATTAATTATATTAAATAATAGTAAATATTAAATAAATTTATTAAACATTAGACAAATATTTATGTCACTAGACACGTACTAAATAATTTTCTCAAATAATATTTCGATTAAAATAATATTCAATCTATTTTGTCAATCTATTTTGATGCATATTATAAAACAATTAATATTTATATCGTTATAAAATAAAATATCAAAATATAATCAAAGGTAAATATGAAAATTAAATGAGGTATCAAAAGATATAATAAGCTTTCATAATAAAAACAAAAAATATAATTTTATAATTTAATATCATCAAATATACATGGAATGATTTAATTATCAAGATAAAGAATAATCAGATGATATCATATTGATAAAAAGTGTAAGTATAACATTACTTTCAAATATAATAGATAATGTCGTTGTAGATAAAGTTACGATTCTGATCGTGCAAAATATTTTGCGACACGTCGCCATTGGATTTGCTAGAGACCTGAAACAAAATAAACTTCGCACCATTTCCATCCTACCGGATGAATCTGACATGCGATGCTGTCCATTATTAAAGCATAATACCCCTTTCACAATGACGCGTGAGTCGGTGTGTGACAGCTTTATAAATGTAAAAGCTGTATAATGGCCGACGAAGCAGGCCGATATTCATCCCGCATTCAGGAACTGTGAAAACGCGAAGCGAATGGGTCGTGTATCACGAGCTTTTCCAACTCGAGAAAATACGTCCGACTGATAATGTCTTATATCGAAAACGGGATGAAATAATTAGGAAATATCTCTTTGTTTCGATTTTTCTATTAAAAATGAATAATATATGCAAATATATTTGGAATAATATTTTAACAAAATTATGAAATTCGTGTTACTATTATATATTAAATTTTATTAGACGATTTTTTTTCGTTGCAACGTATGGAGAGAAAAATTGAGAGAAAAAAAAAAACGAGTAAGTTGACGTTAACAATGCGTGACGGTTGGTGTAAAAAAATATGCTCTCGAATATGAAGTCAAGATCGATAAAAAAGCAAACAGACTTTTCGCTTGAATTCTTTCTTTTTTACCCATCTCCTTTCTCTCTTTTTCACTTTCTCCCTTTATACCATATCTTCCTCCATTCGTGGTGACGTGAATGAATACGTAAATTTTTTCAGGAAAAACTCGATTTTGGGACCCCAAAGTCGAAAGAAAGGTCTCGATTCTTGATTGACACCTGAATGTTCTCGTATGCATATATAAAAGCCACCCTCTTTCTCCGCATTTCTCTCTTTGTCATTCTCTCGATATACAGTTTTGTTACGTTCGTCGGTTTCTCTTTACTCGGAATCAAAGTTCGGTAACTGTTGTAATTTAACGAGCACCACTTTTTACTCGTGTTACCGATGTGTGTTCATTTTTTTTTTTTTTCCTTCTTCTCGCCTCTTTCACGCTACCATATTTTTTTTTCTCTCGTTGTTTCCACGATGTCGTTGATCGAAATGTTTCAGAGTAACCGAAAAAACGGAGGAAAAAAAAAAAGAGCTTGGTAAAAAGAAAAAAATATATATACGTATATATATGGTAGAATGTCGGAAATATGAAACGTCATTGTATCAAAAGATCGACTTCGAAAGGAAAATAAATGAATACGTGAAAAATGAAAATCGATGTTCGCGTTTTTAAATTAGAAGAATATTCTGGACTTGTGATCAATCCGAACAACTGGTACTAGTTATGTTGATCGTACAATAGTTTTTTTTCGTTGTGAAGAAATTTTTGTACATTTATACAAAAAGAAAAATAACAGAGGAAGAAGAGAATAGATTGTTGGGAAAAATTTGAAGAGTTATGATCGAGAAAATAATATCCATAAAGTTATTTTCGAAATGTAGATAGTTTTTAAACGGGTTATATCTCAAAGGGATATATTTCCATTGGATATCAACATTTTTAAAATAAAACAAATATACTCTGCAATATCGTCGATATTAATTAATAATTTCATAAGAAATTCATAAAAATAGAATGAATTTGCTGATAGATATTTTCGTGGAAGAAATTCGATTCACAGTATTTCAAAATCGCAGATGTTATAGGAGTCGTAGATGTATTGTGAATTCACGAAACATTTTCGAAAAAACTTTCACAATATTTAATTTTTGAATAAAAATTCTCATTTTTCAGGAATTTGGGGATTTTCCTTTCCGGATTATTGATATGTAACTTTTCTTAAATCTGAACAATTATCCCAAGAACCAAAAATGAAGAATGTATTGAGAAAGAGATTATCATTTCCTGAAATTCATTTTCTTGTTAAACAGGATAAAAATAATTATTAAAATTTTTTCCCCACATTATTTGCATCCTGACTTTTTCAAGTCGTAAAATCTTAACGGATTATTCTGTCCATCGATACGTTCGCATAAACACAATTTATATCAAAATCGAATTCCGTAGCATGATAACTATAAGTCAGATATAAATAATTGATATTGTTCGAGGACAGATATCCCAATGTGTCTGTTCATGTGGCAACGGGGTGCGTTCGAAGGGGTGGCGTGAGGCTACGGAGCCCACTTTTATAACTCTATCGACAATTTTCAGCTACCCTCTCGTCGGTTTTCGATTTACACCGCAGACTCCACCGTGCTCTTATCCTTTTGTTTGATTTATACTTTTTTTTTCCCCGTGGAGGAGTGATTTTTCGAACTTTCCCGCTAGCTCTACGATTATTGCTATTGTTGCGCCCTGTCGACTGGTCGGCCACGTTGAAACGCTCGAAAAGTCGATGACAAATTGCCGATAGACTGTTCATCGCCATCAGTTTCGTTTTATCTATATTTTCCTGAAGTTTCGCGCGAAAATCGTGATGGAAAATGTGATGAGCTGCTTGTACTTTGTGAAAGCGTTAAACTGTTTGTACATGTATATCAACTGACTGAAAAATATGAAACAGGATGATAATCAAAATATAAATATTTCTTATTATTTCTCTTTATATATTATATAATGTATATATACATATATATGTATATATATATATATATATATATATATTATTTTTTGATAAAAAATACGATGGAAAAAAGATTTATCGATAAAAATTATTTCTTGTTAATTCGATTTACGAAATTTTGGACACAAAAAAAAAGATATATTGATATGCATTCGACGAAAGCCAAAAACTGTTTATTTATAAACATAAAGGTATGACAATTATTTATTTGCTCAAAAAGAATAGATTCTAGATATTTTATGACACACTTTCAGATACACACACAGACATACATATATATACGATATCTGTTCACAAATTATTAAGATGATCTTATAAATTTTCAAATTTACGAAATCTCATCAATTAACGTAACCAAAATTACCTCACTAATCGAATTAAAAGTCTCGACTAAAATAAAAATATCATAATGTTATAATGACCAAAAAAAAAAAAAAAAAGAAAGAAAGGAAAAAGAAAAAAGGAAATAGAATACGAACCCTTCGCGATTAACCGGATAACGCGACTCGCCGGAACGCCTCGTCAAGTCCAAGTATATAAATACATATCTCGAAGGGTTGTACGGATTTAGCCGGCGCGTTACGTCGATTTGCAACCGCTCTTATTTTTCATCATACACCCAACATTTTTTCCTCTTCTCCTCTTTTTTTTCCCTCCCCCTCTCCCTTTTAATTCAAGCCAATCTTCACCCTCCGCCACTTTTCTTTCGCGCGTCCCCTTTCCTTTTTTTTTTTTTTTCCTTTTTCAATCCTCGATATCGCGGCATTTTCCACAGCAAAAACTGACCCCTAAACGCGGCCTAACTGCGAATCGA